ATTCAAATTTATGAACTCAACACTGTCTGCCACCTTTCTTTCTTATCTTATCTTCTTATCTTATCTTATATAAATAAAAGCTAAAAGCTATAAATATATATATATTACAGACATTACTTCAAAAAAGAAGATAATTACGTCTGGCGCAATTACTATGTCTAAAGCAGTTACTATGTATTCATGGTCTAAAAAGTTAATGTAATTATATTTATTTATTTTATCTTAATTAATTCTTTCATTAAGTAATTATCAATTATTTCAATTTTGGCACTTAGGATATAATTGTAAACAAAGATTTCATTGCCTTGTGGAAGCAAGTTGAGGAACAATTTCCAAAACTAAGAACTGTTCATGGAGGTACATTTAAAATTTTTATTTTAGTGCTAAATTACTTTGACTAGCATGTATGGACATTTAGAAACTTAATTGCTTGTTTTTCTGTTTTTTGATAATATTAATAAAAAAAAAATGTGTGCACTAAATTGTGGAAATTTTCAGCAGCACTAAAAGAAATATTAAACCTTATTACAGTAGCATTTTTCTTTGGTAAATGTAATAGTGTTTGAGACATAATTTCTTATTATACAATAACATAAAAAAAAATTGTTTGAATATTGATCAGTCTGCTTAAGAAGGTTTAATAATGATTAAGTATCAGTACCAACATTTTATTGGGATAAAAAACTGAAATAAGAGTTAAACATTCAGAAAATTCAGTAAATGTTTACCATGTATTTTTTGGTCAGACTCTATTTCACCATTTAGACAGCAAAATAAATTATAGTCATTGTTGTCTTTGATCCCTTCTTTTCTAGCTGGCTGTAGGGGCACATCATATCTTTAGAATGTCATCAAATGAATTTGAATTTAATTCGAATCGTCATCAAATCTGCAACTTGTTTACAAAAAAAAAAACAAAAAAAAAAAAACTAAACCCTTTATCATTTATAATCAGAAATAGTTTTGCTCTGTAACATTGTTGCTATGTCCTAATTTGTTTAGTGATCAAATATTCGTTTTAAACTACTATTTTGTTTATCAGTGCAACAGATTAACCCTTCTCAAAATTCTTACAGGAACTGAAATACCATTGAAACCAAAGCAAAGAGTCCATCCACTGGCCAAAGTTACAGCATTTATCAATGCCAGAAATATTAGGCTGATAGACTTCTTCAACGAGTTTGATAAAGATGGAAGCATGAATGTGTCCAGAGAGGAGTTTAAGCAAGGAATATTGGTAAAAGTTTTAAGGATTATTGTCTGTGATGAGAGTTGTCCTTTTGGTTGATATAATATGAATTTAATACTTATTATCTTTTGGAAAAACAAGTATTACTGGACTTACTTTATTATAGTGATGTTTGTATTTGTCTTAAATACCATTTTTAGTTAAGCTTTGGGCTAATGACCTACATCAACCATTCTTGTGAAGATCCTTTCTGGATGAAAAAATTGGGTATTAAATGTAAATTTTTCTGTAACTTGTTGTCAAATGTAGGCTTACATAATTAGCCTTCTTTTCAAATAAATTAAAATGAAAAATAATTTCTTGATTTAAAAAAAAAAAAAGTTAGTTTGAAAAGGAAATAACAATTATTAACAATGGAGCTCATGTTTTTGTAACTTAACAATAAGAGTGAGCTTGGCAAAAACTTACTTTGTTTTCATTTTCTGCTGCAATGGAAAATTACAAACACAATAATTTAAAAAAAAAAAAAAAAAATTTGCTAAATTTTTTAGCTTAATATGTTTTAAATTCATTTTTTTTTCTAGCAACTTATACAGGTAACAATTGAAATGTTTAAATTTTTCCATAATACAATTTTTTTTACTATTTTGGAGATGGATGATATTGCACAGGCTTTTTTTTTTTATCTTCACCCTTTCCTTTTCTATTTCCTTTTAGAATCATATTTTGTTTGCTCTAATTGGCATAATTCCTTTTTCTTTATTTATTACTAACACTAACAAGATATAATGAAAATGTTAACAGCAAAGTATCTCAATGTATCATAGCTCCTTAAGGTTTATATGGCCTAAACAGTTAATTTCCTTAATATGATTAAATTTGTATGCCATATAGTTAAAATATAACATACTTCAATATGTTTCTAAAAATAGATACTTAAAATAATTAATACCCAAGTAATTGTAAAATAAATGTGATCAGTATATTTGTAGACATTATTTACAATCTAGGCTATCTAATTAGTTTTGTAGTCATCTGTTAATTACTTCAATTCCAATTTATACATTAAAAATGTAATCATCTGTTGATTACTTCACCTAAACATTTACACATTAATAATGCAATTATCTATTAATTATTTCAACTCCACATTTACACATTAAAAATGTAATTATCTGTTTATTATTTCAACTCCACATTTACACTTTAGATTTACAGCAAGGCATTAGAAACACAAAATAACTATAATTATTTGAGCATAAATGTTGATTGAACAGAAACTCTGATCTGTCTGTAAAGTAATATTGTTCTCTTTTCATAGATATACTAATTTATCTTTTTTTTTTTTTACTTCATCTTTCTGATAGTCAGTTGTAGAATAGTTCTTTATATTTTTACTTAGAGGTTGCTTTTTTCTTTCTACTGTTTTTTTAATTTTCTTATGCTTACATTTTCTTTTGTTTTTAACTTTGTCATTCTTTCATAAGTATTTTATTATTAACTTTTGCTTTAAATATATTAGAAAGCCAGTAATTATTGATGTTGTATGCTATTTTTTTCAATTTGCACACTGAAGAAAATTATGTACAATAACTGACCAAGAATGGTGACTATCACTTGACATGAACTTGTAATGATAATGTTACAAATGTGTTTTTCAAACATCTTTTAACTTCAAACATTTTTTTTTCTTTGTTTTTTTTCATCAAACAAACATTGGGGGGGGGGGGGGGGGGGGGCTTTTTAAAAAATGTTTAGTTCATCAAAAAACATTTATATTTTTCTTTGGGGCTATGTTCCAATTAGGAAACTGGCATAAATCTATCTCCTGAGGATATTGAATTGTTGATTAATGAACTAAATGTCAATGAGGATGGTGCTATCAATTACAGGTACATTTTTTTATTATTAAAGTTAGTTTAGATAGTCTTAAATATTCATGTTAAACTACAAACCCTAATGTTTACTCTACATAAAATAATATCTGTAAATCTTTTTAGAGCAGGGTTGGCAAACCTTTGTTTTGTTTCTACATGATTTAGATGTTCCTTCAAGATTGAGGATTATTACATTGTAGACTAAACCTCCTGTAGGATGCAGGGGATGGCTGTGGGCAGAGTTTGAACTCAGGACCATCAAAAAGACATTCCAGAGAGCATATCATACAACCAGGGAGACATCTAGACAATATATATATGTATAGATACATGACTGTGATAAGGGTTAAGCAAGGAAATCTGCGAGAACCTCATATTTTTTAAGTTACCAACAAAATCAGGAAATCAATTCCTATTGCTGTGTTGTAAAAGATGTCAAAGATGTCTGACGTAGGACTTTACATTGAAATCCCAGGTTGATTAGTGTTAGAAATAAAATACTTATTATTAATTTAGCTTCTAATGTTTCTTTTAATTAAACCATTTCAGTGAGCTAGCTGTTGGACAAATGGACTATGAAGGTAAAAGGAAAAGAGTCATCCCCTATACAACATTGAGGCCAATGACATCATAAAAGTTATTTTTACTGGTAATTTGTATCTCATGAAAAGAAAGAGTCACATTTGTCAGATGAAGCTAAACCAAATTTTTAGATTGTTAATGAACTCATTTATCTACCAAGCCTGTACAGATTCTACATTAACAAGGCAAGATAAAATGCTTCATTTTCACCCCACTCTTCTTATTGTCTGTTTCTTTTTCTGCAAAATTTTTTTGTTCTAGTCAAACAGAATATTTTAATTTGAAAGATTTAAAATTTGTAATGTTCACCTCTTGTGGATTAAGTTATTCTTTTAAACTTAAGGAAAAAGGATGTTTTTTTTTTCTTTTTAAATTAAATCTTGATTCATTTTGAACTTAGGGAAACAAATTTGAGGGCCAAAATTTATCCGAAAAATTCTAAAAAAAAATAAATTTATTCACAACAGATTTTTATTGTTATTGTAGATTTGTAATATACAAATTGTAAATGTAATAGATTTTTATTTTTTTATTTTAGTCTATTATAGAAGTTTTGTGGTACATGGGTGATAGGAACTTGAGAGGGCTGAAGGGGCACAAGACCTGAAAAGTACTTATGCATCAAATAACTAATAAAAATGATTCCAGCTTCTTATCCTTAGAAGGGCATTGCTTTCCTGAATACTTCTGCTTTTTTTTTTTCTTCTCTAACATTGCTTTGACTGAATTTAGGAGTCTGGGTACTAAGTTTCTTTGCCACATTATTCTATGTTTTTTTTTCTCATTACTTTTGTATAGTGCATCTTTCATGCTATAGCATACTCTGTGATATGGTACAATCTCTTTTGTGGACCTGTGGGGACATCTAGGGAGAAGAGGTTTCCATGCTGCCATTAAGTTCTTAGCAAACACAACTCAGCTTGTGTCGAGATTTCAACTCAAGCCACTTTGATGGTAGCCAAATGATTAATGCCACTCAGCCACTCACATTCCATGTTCTGAAAAATAAAGCTCTGTCTTAGATTACTCTGAAGACCTGTCCCTTTGGAAAGTTGTGCAGTAGATTGCTCTGTTCTCTGAGAAATAAAATGAGGTGCCAGATTGCTTTGCATTTTGATTAGTCAAAAATGTGAGATAGGGTTACTAGAAATTGATAGGCTAGATCTCTACTCAAATTAAAGAAGAAATGCTTTAGTCAGTAGACAAGTGTTGGACCCATTCTGATCAGATTTTTTGAATTGTGATGCAAGAAATGATTTTGCTATTAGATAAACTATTAGATAAACCTGCTCAATTTAAATGTAGAAAAAGTTAAATGCTTAAATGCAGAGTTACAATACTTGTTATTACACAAATGTTATAATTCTTTTTTTTTTTGTTAAGTTAAAATACTTGGTGCAGGAGAAACATATGCCCCAGTAAATTTCTGTTCTGTAATTGTAACTATTTTAATGCCAGTATTTTAACAAGTGCCTTTTTGTGAATATTTTTAATGTAACAAGAAATATGCTTCATTGTATTACATATAGCTTTTTGTAACAATTCTGACCATTCTTTTTAGTAGTTGAAATATAATATTTTCCTTTTTTTTTAGTAAGTAAAACTGTGCATGAATGAATGTGTTTGTTTTTTTAAGAAGGAAATATCTTCTGTTACAATGTATGAAAATTTAGGATTGTATGATTTGTAATTATTCATATTACATAATTTTCATCTTACTGTAATATTATATACTATATAGCTTTAAATTATTCAATCCTATTCCAAATGAATGTGGGACACATAATAAAAGTAAAAAGACAAATGTACAGAGTTACTAATATTACATAAAGTATTTGAGCATTATACATATGCTACATAGAGTTCTATGTTAAGGATAATTATATGGACAAGTAATTCTACAAATGTGTCTTTTTCCTTCTTGTTTAAAAAAAAAATCGCCTTCACTCCAAAACAAAAAAAAAACTTCAATTGTACACTAATGCTAACCAACTTCATCTCCATGTGTCAGTTCAGCTTACCAGAAGAAATCAGAAGAAATAAAAGCCCATGTCCTTCATATCTCCCATCAGTTTTCTTTTTTTCTACCTTTCTTCGTCATAGATTTTTGCAAGACCTTACAGCATGCAAGGAGAAGGTTGGCCAAGTGTTTGATAGCTCAAGTGTGAGTTGTAAGAAATATTGGAATTTCTTTAAAGACACAAAAAAAACAACCTAGTCTAGCTCCAAATCTCCAGGCATAAGCTGGTGGAGTAAATAAAATTTGTCATGTGCTGTCACTTATCATGTAGGTAATGTGTTGATCAAAGAAACTGGTTGCTCTGTGTACCATTACATTTCGAGGGTACTTTTTGATATCATTCGAGCTTTTTGCTATGATAATGCTAAGTCAGTCATTAAATAGTCCTATTTCATTTCAGATTTTCTCATAGAAATAATTTACTTAATATTCATTAAATTCTTTACATTACAAGGCCTGGGTTTGTCTTAAGAGATGTGCAATTAATGTCGATGTTTTTACAACCTTACATGCAAAAGCCACATCTGTGTGAGATTTGATCATATTAAAACTCAACACCCCAGTAACATTTTCTGTTTAATCATTTGCATTTCTTGTTTATTTCATATATACTCAATGGAAAATCTTTTTGTTTTACCACATGTACATTGTATATGTACTTCTGGATTTGTCTATTTGTTGATACCAAAGTGATGTTATTGAATTCTGAACAAGCAATATTATAACAAAAGCCTGAATGCTGTAACATTTGAATGTTTTGTTGAAATGTTTTCACATTTAAAAATTTTCTCTACTAGTTTTAGTAGCGTCATAGTTGATTTGAATAAACCTCAAGCAATAAATATTTGTACAAATTATGATGTCTTTTGAATGGATGAATGTTTGAAATTTAAAAAATTTTAATATAGTAATAACCACCTTCTTGCCTAATTTATAATTAGAATTTACATTTTTCAAAGACTAAAACATATTTAAGAAAAAAGTTTTGCTAACTTATTTTAGACAAGTAAAGAAGATAACAGTGATACAATGTAAGTTACCTAATTTTAAATTTATGAAATATTTTATTAAGTTATTGTATGGTGCTAAAATTGAGTTGTCTTTTTTCTCGCTTTTAACCATAATATGATGAATACAAAGAAAGAAGGTTCTGTAATTTTATTTAAAGAAGAATTAAATTGTGGTGCTAGACAAGTGAAACAAAAGCTATCTCATCTGAAATCAGATACACAAAATAACAGGAATATCACTTTGATTATTAGTTTTGAAAAACAATAAACATTGAACAAAACAAAGTTGAAACAAAAATGTATTTTAATGGTTCAGATAAGAACAACTTAGAAATTGAACAGCAGTTTTGTGCATCATTTCATTGTTACTACACAGCAATTACATGGCTCAGATCTAATTCACTCCAAATAAAATCATAGAAACCTTGTTGGAAAATCTACAACAGATGTTAGCGCAGGTTTCTAGACAATGGTAATAGCTGAAAAAAAATCTCCCTATATTTATTGTTCTGAAGTAGTCACCATACTTAATATTCATTTTTCTGAATAGTTTGATTGCAAAATCCTTGTGGATGTCAAAAGCAATGAAAGTAATGATAATAACATGAGTAAAAGAAAAAAAAATTAAAATACACTTTTTTTAAAATAGGTTGTTTCTAAAAATTATCAGTTCCTCTGTTCCAAAACAGTGCAAGCTACCAAGACATGAGAAGGAAAATGCGATGAGACTTTCTAATCAATGGAGATCATGACAATCTTTTTAGGATATGTGAAAATAAACAGAACCACAAGTGTAGACAAACTTTTATAATCATCAATATCACTTTCATTTATGATAAACATTTCAATCACATTCAGTTACACATTTTTTCCACTAAAAATATTAACATTAAATGATAGACAATACATTTTATGGAAATAAATTGATTACTTTTATGACTTAAAAAACACACGCAAATTAACACATTAACCTTTGAAGTCACAACAACATGCCTGAATGGAATGTTACTGCTGGTAACATAGAAACAATTTGTACACAATTTTACTTGTCGAGGATGGGGTGGCTAAGTACTTTACAGCCAATTGAAAGGTCTTCATATCACACATGGATAGTAATTATCTTCTCATTTAAAGAAATAACTGCTATTTCTAAGGATGATAGAGCCTGGTGAATTTTGAAATTTACTTGCTATAAATGGGTACTTGACATAATACCCCCACATAACCAATTAGCTATAAGAACTAGTGAATCTAGCTTTACTTCAAATCAGAACCACAAGAACTCAGTTTTATCAACGTAAGATAGTTTATCATTGATTGTGCATAGCATTTTTATCAACAAACAAGCAAAAAAACTAGCAGTAGAAATTCTGAGGGGTCTCATGCTGAACAAGAACATTCTTTTTTTCAGGTTACATTATCTTGGAATTCTAGATTTGTTTCTCCAATGTTACCCCCAATCAATAATGTATTCTGTAGTATTCTGTTACAAATAAAAATGCCTTTAATTGTTGCATATGCTCTTACACAAAGATAAAATAAATGATATGCATGTACTTAAATACTTCAGATTTCAACACTTTGGACTATGTCACAGTGTTGAAACCAATTGAAGATAAAATTACATAAATATTTACTTACATAAACTAATTACATAATATTTTAGACAGTTAATTACATACAAATTTTTTTAAAAGCAGCAGGGTTTGTGCAGTCATGTGTAACACTGCTATTCGAAGACATTGCCGTCATTTTTTTAAAAAGTAAATATAAGTAAGAAGTAAAGTTAGCATGACCCTTTAACACAAATGTGTTATACAGAATCTGAGCTTTTGTTTTTGATAAGGCAAACATGTATTAATAAAAAAAAAAGGTTTATAAATTAATACTATTAAAGACTTTGAGGGATTGATTATTTCATTAGCAAAAGTTAAATAAAAAAGCTTGCTAAAGATAAAAGAATGTAAAGTGATCTATTGCTACAATAGGGTTCATTTCATATAATAATTATATCAAAAAGTTGTTCATTTAAATGTATTTTTAATTAATCTAATTTACTGATTTTCAATATATACATAAATCAGCTGCTAATGTTGAACACTTCTTTTGGTGTGAGTTTTATGATTTGGTGGCTTGATGACATATGAGCACTATAAAGGAATGAAAAAAACTTTGTTTATATGAAATTTAACTAAAAATTTATTTAGTTTGAATTATAAAACTTCATTTCATATTCCTGAACTTTTCTTCTTTGATCCCCTAGTTCTAACACTTGAAAGTTCAGACTCAATATGACAATGTTTGACATGTTGCCTATAAATGTCTTTTCAAAGTTAAAAGCACAAAACAGTCAATAATGTGAAAGGTAAGTACAGAACTGAAAAAAATTTAGAATTGGAGGCTGCTCTTCAGTTAAAATATGGTTGGAAAGATATTATGGAGCTTCCATAAAAGGCAGCAATCTAGAATCAAGTCTGTCAAAAATGTGTGGTCCGAACCCTGCTCTTTCGTAGGCATACTGGAAAGATTGTAAATAATAATTCAAGGCACAACAGAACTATTTTAAGATTTTAATTATGTTCTTATTCTTTTCAAAAAGAAACAGTCTTAAGAAATACGAAATAGTTTGTATTTAGTCAATTATTTTATATTGTTTTGACAATAAAATATTCTTAAGACAAAAAAGACACATCTTTTTACTGCGCCTAGCACTGCTGCTGTTATTGCCAGGTAAATCAGGTTGACAGCAACAATAATTAAGATTGTATATGCTACTATACATGTATACAACAAAATAATGTCTAAATAAAAATATATGTTGCTAGTTACCTGGCAGCAGTTGGTAAATATAAATGTATATATATGAATGTAAGAAAAGACATAAAAGTGGTTTTCATTAAAAATCTTTTTTACAGATAAGTATCAAAACATTGGTACATTAAAAAAAAAGATATAAAAATGTACCTTTTAATAAAAACAGTTAGTCCATACATTACCTGTTAATGTATAAACTTTTTTTTAACCTACTCAAAATAGTTTGATTAGTGTATGGTACATTAGCATAAAGAAGTTTCATAACTTACATGCTTTGGTCTCAATGAAATAGTAATTAATCACTTCATTATTGTAAAAAAGTCATTTATAATTCATTTTGTAAAATTTTTTATAAACAATCTTCTCAAAATATAAGTAGTAAATGGGTCTCAACAATTTCACTCAATGAAAGATATTTCAAAGGTTAGTTGTGTATATCATATAAAATCATGTGTTTTTTTTTATTGAAGAACTAGATAAACCTTCACATAGAAAACACATGTTAACCATTACGCAATGTTTCAAGTTTTATTTTTGCTCTACAAAAATACTTATCAAAAGCAAGTTTACAAAGGAGACAACAGAACATGAGTTGTCTTTGTATTATATACAAAAAAAAAAAATGAGCATATGTTAAGAAATACTAAACGATTGTTTTTTTCCATCAACAAAAACAGACATAAAAATAACCATGATGCAATTATTAGAAGGTACAGAATTACTAATGTAACGATTTTTTTCCAAGTTAAGAAATATTTGAATTCAAAAGTAAACCCAGTGAAACCTAAATTTTAACAACAATACAGAAAAAAGGTTTGTTGTTTTTGTTAAGAAGTCTAAGGTTAGTTCACATACTAAACAAATAATCTAGCTCAGTTTTTTTTCATCATAAAATCATGCTTACAGATATACAAGCATAGAAATAAAAAACAATAAGATAATTCTAATCTAATAAATCTAATCTAATGTAGGATTCATACAAACATCTCTAACTATACATGAAGTGATCATTTTCATGGTGTCTCTGGAGGAGTAGTATCAGACAAGTTCCTCTTGGTGGCTGGCTCATCACTTTCACCTGCAGCTTTTCTTTTACCAGAGGGCTGTTGAGATTTGGTTAGATTCAAACTATAATTAAAACAGACTGATCAGACTGCTACCTAAGAGGATATTATATCCTGGTTTTAGACCATAGACTTTACATTATTTGAGGATGTTCTGGAGTCTATCTAGTGATAATGAGTAGCTGACTGTCACACATGATCATACACTAAGGCCTCAGGGACAGTCTCCAACGTAAAGCAAAAATATTAGAGATTTAAGAAAAAAATTCAGGTCTAATATTTTTAGCATTGGGTTTTTATTTGCTAGCTTCCTGAAAACAGCAATAACATGGAGACCAAAAGAAGGAAATAGGAAACAAGGTCATTTCCATAATACATGGAACCAGAAATTTTTAAACAACTGACACCAGATGGGATGAGGTTGAGATGATGACCAATCTAGGTGGAGATGGTTTTCCATCCTGTTTTCCAAACAGCACAGGATAATCTAAGTAGTTTGCACAGGACAATCTAAGTAATCTAAGTAAGTTTCATCTATTTTTCTTTCACATCGCTTTACACACCAAACAGTGAAAGTTAACAGCTATTTTTTTTTTTTAAAGTTTAGCAGAAGTTACTTTGAAAATTTTGTATGTATGTCAAGCATAGCTGTTCAAAAGTTGTATTGTCATGAATCTAATGTTAACGTAATCTTTTCCAAGTACCACAAGATCAAGGACTAATATATATCTGATTCTTGTAGCTATTTTATTATGCAATGTTTTTTTTGACAGTTAGATAAACCTATAATATAAATATGTTTTAAAATATCTTATCCAATGACTTACTGTCTTGGGAGGCACCATCCCATCACTGTTGGGAAACATTAATGCATTGGCTTTTGCTTTCATTTCTTCATCCTGCAGAGACAGAACATAGGCAGATAATTTCAGGCTTCAAAATAATTCATATAAAACATGTAAAAATATT